CGCTGCCTCTACTTTGCCGACACGTTTCTCCGAGATGGTGAGGCCAGGAGAGGGACAGGGTTTGGAGAAACACAGCAGGCCTCTGTTGGCCATCCAGGAAATGGGAAGCGGGGCAGGGGTGGGACAGCCTCTCCCAGGGGGTGTGAGAGCATTACTGGTGCCTCAAGGCTGCACCGGCAGCAAGGTGCCAGGCCATCCACACAGTTCTCCTGGAATTTCTGCTGGCACGGGATTAGTGAGGGAGCTACAGGACCTCAGACCTGAGAGCTCAGGATTTGGGGATAGAGTGTGAGGTGGGTGAGTGTGGGGAGACTGCCGCACAGCCTGTCAGTAGTGAGGGGAGGGATATGCAAGGAGCTGTGCTGTCTGCCTTGCTAAGGAGCTGGCTTTGACCCCAAGTGGTTGGAGCCCTGAGTACGCCCTGCAGAGAAATGGGGTCATCAGGTTTATTGAGTAATTCATCAGTTGATTTCTCACATAATTGGGACTTGAACCCCTACACAAAACCAGAGTAGTCACCCCGTGTCCCACCTGGCGCTGCTGCCACTGCACTATGTCGCTGACCTTTTTGCTGAGTGTTTTAACTGAAACCCAGCGCGAGTACTTGAGTTCGTGTCTAACAGATGTGACCTACAGCTGTGCCCGCATCGCACCCCGTAGAGCTGACACTGATCCCGGAGTCTCTCTCTCCATTCATCTTAGAAGTGCCTTGTATGGTTGGTGCTGGGTCAGCCCCAGCCCGCACGGGCATTTAGTGGTGTGTCTTTTAGTCTCTGGGTGAGCAAGGCCCCTTCTGGTGTTGCTTATTTGCTGAGGGTCCTTTTTCCGTGGATTTTCCCCACTGTTTGGATGTGGCAGCCCCGTGGGTCTCTACCAGTCACTGTAAAAAGGCCCTTGGGGCTCAGTTCCTGGCTGGCTGAGGGTTGGGGTGTCAGCTGTGTGAGTGGCTCACTACCTTGTTCCTGGGGCTTGGCTCCCCTGATGCTTGTTGCTGAGGTCACTGTACCTCCAGGGCGCGAAGCCAGGACTGCTCGGGCCCACCTTGGCTCCTGGGTTTTTAGCTCAGATTCTCCACTAAAGGGTCTTCCCCAGAGGTTCAGCTCACACAGGGTGAGGGGCGAGATGGTCCCCTGGCGTTTCAGCCCAGGCCTGGGACTTCGTGTCTGACTGCTGCATGGACACACTGAAGGGGTGGGGGTGAATCGGTGCGGTTGGGACCCTGATGCACCTTTGGGGCGAGGACCCTATTCTGAGTTTTGCCAGGGCTGGTGAGGGGATGTGGGGCTGGGAGAGAGCTGGGGCTTTGTGAGGGGGCGGCACTGCTGAGGGGGCGGAGGGTGCAGTGCATGGGTTTGGGTGGTCAGGGTCCAATTTGTGTGCCACTGACATCTCCGTGGAGATGCCTTAGAGAGTTGTGTCCCAGGCTTGGATTGCGGTCAGCAGTTTAAAGAGGGTGCCCAAGGCCACAAGGCTGGCTGAGGTCACCCCGAAGAAGTGGTGCAGGAGAGACCCAGCCCTGGTCCCAGTGTCAGGAGAGGAGGGGAGGGATCTGTTGTGTATGGGCTGATCCCTGCCTCACAGCCTGTTGCCCCACAGCGGCCCACCACGGACCCACCATGTGGGCAGGCACCAACTCAGGCTCTGTGTTTGCCTACGCACTGGAGGTGCCAGTGGCAGTGGCAGGCAGCGAGAAGCGGCCCGAGCGAGCAGTGGAGGCTGTGCTGGGCAAGGAGGTGCAGCTAATGCATCGTGCGCCTGTGGTGGCCATTGCCGTGTTGGATGGGCGTGGCCGCCCGCTGCCTGAGCCCTTCGAGGCTGCTCAGGACCTGGCCCAGGCCCCGGACATGCAGGGTGGCCATGCAGTGCTCATCGCGTCTGAGGAGCAGTTCAAGGTGAGCTGCTGCAGATACCTCCAGGCTACTGCCTCCTAGATACCACTGGACCCCTAGAACTCCTGCCTTGCCTATTGCCTACCTGCTGAGCCCCCGCAGGACCCCACGCAGCTAGCAGAGGTGCTCCTGCAGAGCCCTGAGGACTTCCTCAGCTTGTATGCCTGCAGGACCCTCCTACCTCACTGGGTCCCCCACTAGAACCCCTTGACCACTCCTCTGGGCTCTGGCAGGAGGTCATGGTTTGGGGACATACCAACCATCTAACCCTTACAACCCAGCATAACTGGTTTTGCCAGGCTCTGTGGGAGGGGCCCTGGGAGGCTCTAGGAGCAGTGTGGAGCAGGTCAGGTCTGAGGGCAGCTCCAGGGGGGTGGGTGTTCAGGCAGGGGTGCTAGTGGGTAGGGGCATGGGCCTGTGTGGCAGGCTGGGCTCTGCATAGGGCTCGGGGCGTGGACTGGACCAGGCTGTGCTCACTGGCCATCTGCCTGCTGCCAGGTGTTCACACTACCCAAGGTGAGCGCCAAGACCAAGTTCAAGCTGACAGCCCATGAGGGCTGTCGTGTGCGCAAGGTGGCACTGGCCACATTCGCCAGCGTGGCCTGCGAGGACTATGCCGAGACCTGCCTGGCCTGCCTCACCAACCTGGGTGACGTGCATGTCTTCTCGGTGCCGGGCCTGAGGCCCCAGGTGCATTACTCCTGCATCCGGAAGGAGGACATCAGCGGCATCGCCTCCTGTGTCTTCACGCGCCACGGCCAGGGTGAGGCGAAGGCTCTCTGGGCAAGGGGCCCAAGCGGGTCCCGGAGTGTTCCCGAGAGCGTCAGCAGAAGGGGTATCCAGTGTGGGCACAGCGCCGGCCAGGATGTGGGAGGGCTAGTCAGTACGTGAGGGCAGGGACCAGCTGCGGGGCTGAGGGTGGGACCATCTCCTGACTTCGCTCTTGGCTCCGTCTCTCCCACCCACCCAGGTTTTTACCTGATTTCCCCATCGGAGTTTGAACGCTTCTCCCTAAGTGCCCGCAACATCACAGAGCCGCTCTGTTCTCTGGACATCAGCTGGTCCCATGGTGCTGCCCATGCCAGGTACATGGAGGGGGTAGCCCCTGGCCCAGGAGGCCTTTGATCCAGGCTGCTGTCGTCCCCACCCCCAGATGCTGCATGGAGCAAGGGTGGCCCTCCCTGGTGTCTCTAGTCCCAGGTCTCAGGAATGGGACGACAGGGGTTTGGTCCTTTGAGCCTTGAGGTGCTCCCTGTGACCCCATCATGGCCCTGTCTCTGCAGCTACAGACTCCAAGAATCGCCCAAGCTGAGCCAGGCTAACGGGACCCCCGGCATCCTCCTGGCCCCACAGAGCCGTGATGGAAGCCCTAATCCTGTCCACAGCAAAAGAGCTGGTGAGGGGCTGGGCCCCAGCCAGGCAGACAGGGAGGCTTCTGCGGGAGGCACAGCTGGAATCCTGGGGAGGGTGCACCAGGCTAGAGCGGGGCAGGGGGTTTAATACGTCCTACTACGGCTGCAGAGGGTCCCAGGGTCCTAACAGAGGCCCGACGTTTCCTCCCTGCAGACACCCCAGAGCGGCCTGAGGCCATGCTCTCGCCCATGTCCATTGACTCGGCCATCAGTGCTGACACCACTCTGGACACAACGGGGGACATCACGGTGGAGGATGTGAAGGATTTCCTGGGGTGAGGTGGGCGGGCAGGATCCACAGGAGGGCTGCCTTGGCTCCCAGCCTACCTCCCCGCCTCAGTCAACCTAGTGTCCCAGCCAGGCATGCAGGAGCGAGGAGGGGGCCTCACCCCAAGTCCTGATCACCACCCTTTCCCCAGCTCTTCGGAGGAGGCTGCGAAGAATCTGAGGAATCTGGTGGAAGACGAGGCTCGAGCCTGTGCCATCCTGATTAAATGAGGTGCTGCAAGTGTGGGCCTCTGGCTGTCCTGGGTTCTTGGCCTCAACCCCAGGGGGCCCCGCCTGGCTTCCCATCTGAGAGCCCAGCAGGCCCGTGATGCCAGCGCCCCGAAGCCTGCTGCTCTCCAGGCTGTCCCCAGGGCTTCGGGGCGCACAGATGCGATCTTCACTGTTTCGTATTAAAGAAACAGCCAGCCTGTCAGCCCCTGGGTGTCCTAGGTTGTGTTTGGAACGAGAGGTGGTGGCAGCTTTGGGCTCAGGAGGTTTGGCCAGCCCCTTTCAGCAGCTGAGATCACCCAGGCACAAGGCGGGGCCCCGGGGGGTGAGCCTGAACAGGGCCTGGCCTGAGGCTGGCCACCCCCAGCCTCAGTGTGGCCCTGTCCACATTTGGGGCCCATAAGTCTTCCCATCCTATTTGCTACCTAGAGGGCCCCCCCACACACACACACACTCAGGTACAAACCCCAGCTCTGTTTCTTGCTGGGGACACCCCTGGCCACAGTGGGCTGAAGTACACAACGCTGAGGCCTGGCCAGCCTCTCCAAGCAGTTCCTGCTGGGTCCTTGCCCCGGGGGTGGGACCTGCCTGGAGGAGCCTGAGAGGTGGCAGCCAAGGAGCCAGGCTGTCTGCCCCTTTGGCCTCCGTGGACCTCTGCTGACCCTTCTCTTCCTCTCCAGGAAGGCCAGGACTACCTGCCACCACTGCCTTGCTTGGAGCTGGGATCCAGGACCTCTGTCCCCTCCCAGCCCTTCGCAGACAATGCCTGCTCACCTGTGGGCCCCAGCGGCATCTGCCCACTTTGGCCCCGGGGTGTGGGCCTGGAACTCGGGTGGACTCCGATTGGCCTCTCCTACAGGCAGTACGTGGAAGCCAGGTGCCACAAGGAAGGACACACACCGTCCTTTCCCCCTCCTTTTGCAAAGAATATTTTTCTAATGCCTGGACTGGACAGTGCTGGGCTGGACACTCATTTCTAAAACTATTTTGGTACTTGTTCCTGGGCTAGCATGTCCCCTCTTTCCACCCTGTACGTTTGTGTGAGAGAGAGAGAGAGAGAGACACTGGGCGCTCCCTTGGCACCCAGGCCGGGGGCCCAGTCAGGTATATGTATGTGAGGGTCAGAGTGGTTTCCCTGTAGATTGTACCTTGGGGGTTTTCTGTAATTTTAACATTAGCACTGTTTTAATATGAAAAATGCCGATTTTTAATATTGAAAATAAAAGCATTTAATATCTCTTAAAGGGCAACCATGTCTCCTTTATCCCTACAGGGAAGGGGGTGTCACATGTGAGCTCACACCGAGGGGTCTCATTTCCCATCAGGGCTGCCCCCTTGGTGCCACTTGGGCTGTGCTGCGGGGGGCTGTGGCACTGGGCATGACATAGCAGGGCTGCCCCCTGACACAGACCCTGGCTAGGTGGTGGATGAAGAGGCCCTTGCTCTCCTCACCCTGGGCTTGGGGCTTCCACAGGGGCACTGCAGGGGTGGCAGCTGCTCTAGGCCAGGGCCTTCCGGAAGGTGCTCCAGGCATGGAAGCAGCGGGTAAAGGCGTGCTGCTCGTTGCCCTTGCGGACCAGGCGCAGGCGGCGGGGATGCTCGTGCTCTTTGGCGCGCATGTGCTGGATGTACACCTGGGGAGCGGACATGCGTGAGTCTTGGGCAGGCCTTCCAGACCATTCCAGCCAGCCGCAGCCCTCCCTCCACCCAGCTCACCTGGCAGGCCTTCAGACTCAGCTTGATCTCCACCTGGCTTGTCTGGGTCCCCACCCACATATAGACCTGTGGGCATGACGGGAGGTGGTCAGGGGGCACCTGGGCTCAGGATTCCCACTGACAAGTGGGTGGGCTCCTTGAATGGGCAGGGTCAACAGGGGCCTCACCTCTTGGCCATTGTCTAACAACATGATGTCATCATCTGCCAGGTCATCTTGGCAAAAGTCAGAACATTTCTCAGTCACTGCGAAGTAACCCTTCTCATTGGAGCACCTGCGGGTCAAGGGTCAGGCAGAGCGTCAGGGTCATGAGCAGCAGTCCCAGGCCGCAGGAGGCAGCGGGGGAGGGCGGGCCGGCCTCACCGGAAGAGCCGGGTGTGCTTCATGTACTCGGCATCGTCGTCATACGGCTTCTGTGTGCCCAGGCCCACCCAGAAGAAGTTCTCGGGCTCCTCGCCTTCGCTGATGACCTGTGGTGAGAGGCCGGCTCAGCATGGGGTCCCTGTCCGCCCTCACTGGCCTGTCTGGCCACTGACTGCCCGGTTACCTGCTTGCTGTAGGAGGCCTCAAACATGGTGTTCAGTATGTCCTCCGCCAACTTGGCCTCATCCGGGTCGGACGCCCGGCCCACCCACGCGTACACGATGCCCTGGTTGTCCTCACTCTCAAAGGGAACCTGGGGAGTGTGCAGAGGGTTCAGGTCAGGCCCACCCTGCAGCCCCCACACCCTGCAGCCCCCACCCGGACCCACAGTCCTGGTCGCTCCCACAGCCGCACCTTGAGAATGAAGCAGAACTCGGAGTTGAGGAGGCTGGAGTCGGTGTTTATCTGGATGCACCTGGGCACGGGGGGAGGGAGGTCAGCAAGGAGTCGGTGGCTCACTGAGCCCACCTGCCCATCTGTGCCCCTCCCCACCCAGGCACCGGGTACAGAGGGCGCTGCCGTTGGTTCGAATCTGGTAGAGGCTGGGCTGCAGGGCACCCTGAGCTGCCTTCCTCCGGCCCCGGTGGATGATGAACTTCCTCTTGAAATGGGACAGGAACTTGGGGTTCTCCTGCTGCTGCGTCATGCGCACCACCTGGGTGTATGCAAGTGTCAGGGCAGCTCCGTGGGACCCCCCTACCCTTCATGGGCCAAGCCTTCTCTGGGTCTGAGTCCCACTCCCACAGACCCCCCACCCCCCCAAGCTCTGGGGGTATGGCATTGCGCCGTAGGGGCACGGCAGGCGCACCTCTAGCTTGCCAGGGAAAAGGCTTTCGAACTTCTTCTGCAGGCTGAAGGTGAAGGTGAGCCAGCCCATGTTGGAGGCTTCGCGGCCCTGCCAGAAGTACACGATGCACTGGAAGTCCTCCTCCGGCTGCTTGTCCGCCTCCGCCACTGCCTCCTCGCCTTCTTTGCCCTCGGGCCCCGCCTTCTCCTCTTTCTCTTCCTTCTCCTCCTCCTCGTACTCCACAGGGACCCAGTACCTGCAGGGTCAGAGGGCAGTGAGCAGGGGCCCAGGGCAGGGAGGGGCTGGGCCAGGGAGGCTCTCGGGGGCGGCACCTGCAGAGGAAGACGTAGCAATCCTGCGTGTAGAAGTGGCCGAACTCCTCCTCAGGCAGCCGAGCGAACTTCTTACCCTCCAGCACGAAGCCCTCCATGCCGTCCAGGTCCTCGTTCCACTCCTCCATCAGCTGCTCAGCCTGCATGTGACACCCCCACCCCTGCTGGTGGGCCTCTGGAGCTGGCCCTCCTCACCGGGCAGGGACCTGCACAGAGCCTCCCAACAGGACCCAGGGCAGGCTGCGTCCCATTCAGCTTGGGCCAAGTCCACCCCGCCCCATCGCCCAGGCCCTGCCCCCGTCCTATTACCCTAGGCCCCGCCCCATCACCCACCC